GATCATGTCCGAGTGCGGCGCGGGCCCCGCGGGCGCCGGCCAGGCCCGGCCCAAGCCGCTCCGCGTGGGCTTCTACGACGTGGAGCGGACCCTGGGCAAAGGCAATTTTGCGGTGGTGAAGCTGGCGCGGCACCGAGTCACCAAAACGCAGGTGCGGGGCCGGGCGGTGGGACGGGGGTGGGGGGTTGCGGGCGGCCCGGCTCCTTCTGGCCTGCAGAGGGGGGGGAGGGTCTGCACCAGGAGTTTCTAGCCCGGTGAAGAAAGCCGTGCCGGGTTTATATTCCTGCACGATTCCTACCGTTAGTGGAGAATGGCCAGAAAGACAAAGAAATGACCAGCAACAAGACGACCCAGCAAACCCCCAGGGCCCGGCCCTGGTAGCGCACTAGCCAGAGGCGTTTATTTATTTAACTTGGCTTCCTCCAAACAACAGGAGTGGTTGCCTTAACCCCCCCCCCCCACACACACACCAACTTTGTGTAACTTTTTGGAGGCATTCAGTGTTGGGGGGAAAAGTGTAAATGAAGTCAAGAGATAATGTTTAATATTTTTTAACTAAATCCGTAGGTGGCAATAAAAATAATCGATAAGACACGATTGGATTCTGGCAATTTGGAGAAGATCTACCGGGAGGTCCAGCTCATGAAGCTCCTGAACCACCCACACATCATCAAGCTCTACCAGGTAGGGGCTTCCACCCTCCTCGCTGGGGTGTTCTGTTGCAAGTTTGTCACTCCTTGTTTCCTGCACAGCCTGGCTGTGGGTCCTGCCGGTGGCCCCTTTCCAGACATGGTGGGGGTCTGGGAACTGCACACATAAAGGGAATTGATTATGGTGAGCTGTACAGAGAATTATTTTCTTGCTGTTTGGTCACATCGGAGCTCTGCTTCATTGAAGGCTCACCTCATACCATTTGTTCCAGTTTTGAAGTGGTCACTATGAGAATCACACCTACTATGCAGCTGCCCCGCAGGCTCTTAGTGATTAAGACATATTTGAGTGAAACCAGAAACTCCCACCTTTGCTGATAATGATTAAACTTTAAAAGCAACCGCTCCTGCCAGTTTCCCTCAACTTGTGTGTGCAATGGCGGCAGTAAGCCTTTGTCTTCCCGGGTTAACTCTTTGGGGCCGGGTGGAGAGGAGGCAGGCCACTTGGAGTTTGCCCTTCGTGCCTCTCACCCTGTTGGTTTCTTTTATGACTTTATTTTTGTTTGTGTTGAAAGTATTAATTACATCTTTGAGAAATAAGAAATCAGGACCCAACACAATCTCTCACGTACTTCCTAGTGATAAAGACAAAGTGAGGCCAGTTGGAGGGTTTGTGTCAGTGCAAGAGTACAGAACTTTGTAACTTAACCCGACCCACACACTGGCGCTTGCACTCTGTGTAAGTGAAGGTAGGCTGGTGGGAGCTCGTGTTTCACCTCGTACCTCTGAGTGGACTCGGCCTAGGCATTATGTGGCTATCATTTTTAAGTTGCCCTCGGAGATAATGAAGTGTCCTTCGGGGCCTCGCCGCTGCTGTCCACACCTGGGAATTGTGCTGCATGGCTGACTTGTGTGGCCTCGGTTCCTCCCTCCTGTCTCTCCCCCGTCAGCGTGGAGCTGAGTGCTGGAAGCCAGGGTGGATGTTCTCACTGCTGCCTCAGGCAGCTCGACCTTTGGGACTGGGTGGGCTAACCAGGCTGGAAGTCTGAAGCACTTCTTCCTTGTAGGTTTAAAAGTCTAACCACACAGACTTTTCTTTTTCCCTCTCCCCTTTTCATGGAGAAAGGAATTGGCAGAGATCTTACCACATGTGAAGGACAGTTAAAACTGTCAACAGAATTGCCAGAATGGTAGTAACACTTCCCTTATTCAATCTACGGCTCAAAGCAACTCCCTTTAAGAGTGTCTTTTTTTGTTTTTGTTTTTGTTTTTTTTTTGGGTCCGGTCATGGGGCCTGAACTCTGGGCCTGGGTGCTGTCCCTCAGCTCTTCAGCTCAAGGCTAGCACTCTACCACTTGAGCCACAGCGCC